TGTAGTGATACACATGAGGTACGTGTCACTTGTTGTATGACAAATATATGAATTATATATGCATACAATATTCACGAGTTCTTCATTTTTCTGACTGTAAATGCCGTGCATTGAATTTAACAGAAATGTGAACGAGAGACGTTATTTATCTTTGACCCATCAAATGAATGGAATCATTTATTTTCAAAATCAAAGTTTAACATCAAACATTTACATTAATTTGGCAAAATATGAAAATAATAACAGACAGTTTCACAGAAAATGAACTTCAAATCACTCGGCGGTGATTTGAGGACTTTGCTTCAGACATTTCTAAAAATATCTGTACTGATTTATGAGAGAGAGGTGAGTTTAAGAGTAAATTGAGATTTATCTTACAGAGGAATATGTGAGGGAGATTTAATCTGTTTAACCAGAAGTTGCACGCTCCGTCCGATCTCAGCTTCTCACGGTACACTTGGTCAAAATAGAACCATCTACCTGTTGACGATGAATCAGCGTTGGATGTAGTTCCTTTCTGACTCGTTTCAGCGTCTCCGTCGAGAGCTACCAAACCTTCAGAAAGTCGTGCGTTGATTAGCTCAAAACAGAATTATAATCCCCAAAAAACCTCTGGATTCTTCATTGCTCTGAAGCTTTCAGAACCGACTGCATTCTCAATCTTCTCATTCTGTTGGACTATCGGACCTGTTGTCAGCTCCCAATCCAACATCTCTCAGAACTCTCAATCTAACTTGAACTGGGGAGTTGCCACATTTTATTTGGGTCGACTTCCTGTTCAATTTAGAGCTTTCTGATTCGTGGAAGGACCAGAAAGAGGAGTGGTTTTTGACGTAAGGTGTTTATCAACAGTCGAGGTCAGAGAATGAAACTTGTTTAACATACAGAAAAGATTATTGCAGAAGCAGCAGACTTTTTGGAGTCTACTCTTAGTAATCTTCTGAAAAAGTTTAAACATGACATTTCTTCTTCAGTAAACATTTTAGTTGACCGAAGACCAACCTTTCACATACTTACGACAGCTTGCTCATTTCAGACAGAAAAATCAAGAAAGGCATATTCAGGTGATTTCTGCTTTGAATGAGGAACAAAAATCATTACTTACTGTTTATGTAAAATAAAAATTAGTAGTTCTTTTCAACCTGTAAAGCATTGAGTGAACTAACACAATTTGATTATCAAAACATTTGTAAGACAGTAATGATTATAAAGAATTGTCTTTTCTGCTTGATTAATTCAAGAAAGAAAGTTCATCAGATGGTTCAGACTTATTCAGATCAATGAAAATAACAGTCTCTGTCCATCTGGTAGATTTGAGGTTATCTGGTTCACTACAGTTGACTGTTCCAAAGTTTATGGCCCACGACTGAAAAAGCCCAATCTCCTCTGAGCTTCAGCTTGCTACAACCAAAAGCAGCTGATCAGATGATCTCAGCACCCAAGTAGGTCAGAGAGATATGTGGGAGCTGGGCCTTTAGGCATTTAAAGGTCAACAGGAAAATCATGCCTAATTATGACCCCCAACACCACTGTTGGTGCGACAGTCAAAGTTATTTTTGACACACGTCATACTAAGAGTTTGCCCTTTAGCCTGCTTGAACTGGCTCATCAATTTAGCCTGAATATTTTTCTTCTCCAAACGGAAAGTTTATTGAGCTATTTAAACAGGTAAGATACTGATTATTTATATTCAACAGATTTGAATTATCCTTTTAATAGTTGTGCGCATGCTGTTATGGCAAAATTAACATTTTAACTTGTGCAACAAATGGCATTGTCAGCCTGTAAATCACATGCTCACCTTGGGAAAGCCTCTCACAGAGCAGCTGATGGCAGTGCTGTAACCCGCTACGACAGATCTGTCCATCAGCGGCTGAGTAAACTTGGGTGCACAAGCCATGTCCTTCTCCTTAAAGTGGCTTGGTTTGTACTCCAGGCCTGGAGTTAATGAGAGTGGCAGAGGAATGAAGGGTAGCACATTTCCCAACACCTCATGCTCTTTATGTCCTGATGGATACTGTAATTTGTGCTGTCACACACACTGTCACACCTGTCTTAGCAATGGTGGCTGTGTTCTTGCTGTTGCGCGGCTCCTCGCTCAGGCCGCAGAGGTTCTCGCTGTAGACTCGGAACATGTACTCATTACCCATGATCAGATCTGAAACCGTGCAGTTTGGCCGTCTGTTGTGTTCGTAAACGCTGAACCATTCCTGGAACATTTGAGACAACAACAAAAACAAAAGCAAGCGTCACAGATTTAAGGGAATCTAAACCACATTTCAAAACACTTCACTCTTCTGTCACCTTGGTCTTCATGTCTGCTTTCTGGATGGTGTACCCAGTGATCTCACTGTTGCCATCATCTTTTGGGGGGTCCCACTCCAGAGCTGCGTTGAAGCCCCACACGTCTGTCACTCTCACATTCTGAGGAGGTCCAGGTTTCTCTGTTTGGATTAAACACCTTTTAGTTCGGCTGATAAACTGCTGTCAGTTTGACACAGCCTCAACTTTTCCATGAAGGATAATTTATTAGAATCAAGTTTCGTAAAAAAAAAAAATGGAATTAGAGTTTAATCAATACCGATAACCCTGATGTTAATGGTGGCCCTGTCCTCCATGTTCTCAATCTTTAGAACCAACTCGTACATCCCAGAGTGCTCCCTCTCGGCTGAGCGGATGAAAAATATGCTGTCTACGTTTGTGTTACGGACGTTCACCATCTTGGGGTCAATTGGTTGACCATCCTTGAACCAAGTCGCGACAGGGTGTGGCTTTCCCTACGAGACAAAAAAAAAAACATATCAGAGTAAAAGAAAATCCCACAAGTTAATTTTTTTAAACATGTTCTCTTTCATCCCACTTGTTTGTATTACTTTAGAGACAAAGGAAACTTTTTTTTTTTTCAAAACTGGTCTTCATCCAAACCTGGAAAGGGATGGTCAGGTTGATCTTTTCTCCCACTTTTCTAATGTATTTTGTTCTCAGGTCGCGAGGAAGGCGGATCTTTGGATGTTCTAACGCAGAAGTAAAACAGGAGACATCTCATTGTATCACCTTAAACAAATGCATCTCCAGACAATACAAACAATCAAGACTTTGTATTGTACAAAACCATAAACCTTTAAACACATAATTATGCACATTCATTCACACCTAAAACTGTTTCACTCACCAACAATCTCACGGATGGTAACAGGTTGTGACAATATAGCGGGCAGACTGCGACCAGCAATATTTACTGCCACCACCCTGAAGTTGATCTTCTCCCCCACGGGGAGGCCACGCACCACATATCCCTGCTTCTCACAAAGATCCTTGTTTGCAACTACCCACTCAGTGTCTGCCGAGAAGAAGAAAAATAGCTGCTTCTAGTAAATTGCTGTGAGTGGGATTCAAAGCTTTTCAAGTATGTTATTGTTCTCGTGTGGAAAATCAACAAGAGTGTGACTGTAGACATAATTCAGTGTGTGATCTCCGTACCTCCCTCCTTGCAGTACTCGATAACATAGCCATCCAGGCCCCCAGCTCCAATCTTCTCCGGGGCGAGCCACTTCAAGCTGCATGTGCTATCTGTCACATCGTGGACTGTTAGACGCGTCGGCTCACTAGTTGGGGCTGAAGGTGACAAAAAGAGAGGCTCAAGAGAATAAGCAAATAAGCTTGGCTGGATGAGTGTGAGACGCAAAGGGAGCGGCAAGGACAGGCTCTGAAAGATTAAGGAAAAGATGGGTGTGAAGCTTACCGATGGGCATGAAGGGTTTGGAGTTGAGACTCGGCTGAGACATGCCGATGCTGTTAACAGCAAACACCCTCATTTCATACAGAATTCCTTCAATCATCCTCTTAGCTTCATATGTCGTTGACTCGTAAACATCAAAGTTCAGCTTTGTCCATCGGGAGGAGCCTTTCTTCTTTCTTTCCATGAGGTAACCTTGATGGAGGCCAAGCTCAGGTTGTTAGTTGAATTAAGCCAACATACATAAGTTTAAGTATGTCACTTTGTAGAATTTTAACATATATTTGGACTATATAGTATTTATTCACCTTTGATTGGTGCACCACCATCAAATTTAGGAGGCTCCCAAATAATGGTAGCACAGTCCTCTCCCACCGCCGTGCATTTGACATTCTCAGGAGGGTCGGGCACATCTGAAACAAAATTACAATAAGTTTAGGTAGAACTAGTGAATTTTAAACACAACTTTATGTTGGTGACTTGGACGTTCACTGTAAATTTTCACATACCCACAATTTTCACAAACAGCACGGCCTTGTCCTCTCCTGCGGGGTTAGTGACGATGATGGTGTAGTTGCCTTCATCGCTTCTCTCTGCGCCCTCAATGACAAAGCAGCTGAGGTCCTTCCTGGCCTCCACTCTCACACGACCTTCACTTTCTGTGATCGGCTGAAATACAAGAACAGGTAACAACATGCATGCAGACAACTTGAATTGTCCAAATACCGCAATTTAATCAAAACAGTCCAAACAAAAGGTTTGGACATTTTTACAATCTTTGAGTTCTCAGGATTTTCTTGCCACATTTTTATTAGATTTGAAAATGGAGCCATGCTCTTTACTTTATGAGTCTATGGTTTAAATGGTCTTGTTCTTAGTATCAGTTTTTTGGGCTCCCTGAGCTTCACTGAAATGTCTGGACAGAGCCGTACCTGATCTCCTTTGGACCAGACCACAGTGGGTGCAGGCTCTCCAGTGATCTCCACATCCAGACGGAGTTTGTTGCCTGCCACCACTATAATAGTGTTCTGGGAGACCATGTTTCCAGTGGTGTCCAGGTGGATCTTTGGAGGATCTGGTTAACACACATCAAACAAGATGAGAGGCTCAGAGAAAGAGAATGGGACGTAACGATTTAAATTGTACATGATCAGACGTTGAGCTACCTACCTTGTCTGGGCACATAGTCAATCTTAATTTCTGTTTTAAGAGAAGAAGAGAAAACATATTTACCATCACAATATAAAACACAGTTGGCAGCTTTGAAATTGTTCTGTTTATCTCACCCAAAAAGTTCAGCTTGGCAGAAAGCGACAGGGCGTATCCATCTGGAACGAATGTGTAGTCTCCAGCATCGTTTGGCTTCACGTCATCAATAACTAATCTGTGAAACCTAAAACACGCATTCAGAAAAATAAAACGTTTGCCTCACAATATAATAAATACCACAGACTAATCGTTTACATGTAAGGCACAGAGGTACACGGTGTTAATCTTACCTTCCAACGTGAGTCATTTTGATGCGCTCGCTCGGTAAGACCTCTACTCCATCTTTGAACCACTTCCCTGTGACCTTGTCATCAGACACTTCACACTTGAACACAGCCTGGTCTGTTGCCTTGACTGTCAGATCAGCAATGTCCTGCAAAACTTCCAGTTCCTTTTCTGAACAAACCAGCAAAAACCACAGGAAAACACACCAGATTAGGGGATAAGGTACAGGACAAGGCTCATGATGGTCTTAAGAAGTCCTTAGGCCTGCACTTTGAATCTGCTGCTTCCTCTGTACTTTAAAGTGTAATATTTGAATGACAAAACTACATAAAATATATTTAATATCTTTTCTGTGGTACCTTCCACCTCCAGCTCTCCTTTGGTATGCCCTCCGTTTGTCCAAGCGTGATACATTCCAGCATCGTCCAGCGTCGCCTCCTGAATGATAAGCGTGTGTTTTTTCCCATCCTTTTTGAAGCGATACTTTGTGGACTCCTTGTCTTTGTGAAGCTCTTGATCCTCAAAGAACCTTTAAATTCATTTAAAAAAATGTGAACTGGCTTTGAATTTACAAGATAAATGTATGGATGAAATTCATGTTTATGCTTTAAAAAAAAAATTACTCTGAAAACATTTTCCTTGGAGAAATACAAATACAATATCATGCTTTAAAGGGATAATTCAATGCTTTCGAAAGGGGGTGAAAAATATTTACTGACCACATCACGTGAGCGCCCTCCTCAGACACCTCAAGCTCAAACTCCACTCTTTCTCCCACGACCACGTGATAGTCGTCCATCAGCTTGGTGATGGTCACGGGGGGCTCTAAAAACATCATCAAAATATGTTAAATCACAATTTTGTAACTGTACGCAGATATTTTCCTGTATTTTTGTCCTCCATTCTGCTAAGGGATAGTCAAATAAGAGCTAGTGCAAACCTTTAACATACACCTCTGTGGAACACTTGTCATCGCCAACCACACACTCGTACGCAGCATCATCAGCCAGGGTCGTCTTATTGATGGTGAGTGTCCTGATGTTCCCATTTGCCTCCATAACAAACCTCATTGAGAGACAAATCAGAATTCAGAATATGGCTCAGTGGTGACGTTTTAATTTGTTTTTTTATTTCAGCGTTTTTCCCCTCATAGTTTTCTCTAACAAGATCTTATTGACTGTGGCTGAAGGTGAGCATTTAATGCATCACAGAATCATAGAGCAGAGTGTAATCAAACTTTTAGAAAGTAATAATTGGATCTGCAACTGATTAACTTCTGGAGTCGACTTAATTTAAAATTGTCGCCACAGCTAATCAACCATAGCCTAGACAAAAATAGCTTATTAAACATAGCTAAAATTTGATACGGTAGTTTCTTAGAGTCCTTCACAGTACATACTCTAAATGCTAAAAGATCATAGATATCAGAACAATGCATGAGATTGTACATGCATTTATTTTTACAATTAAACAAAAAGGCTATAAATGTCATTTGCCAACATAAGATGATTTTGGTCTAAAACTGTGATGTGAAAGGTGCAGGGTGATATGCATTCAAAAACAGGGAAGCTCGGCCCTTAATTTAATAATAATACAAACTAAACTAACAACTTCTGCATTTTGTCAGCCAGATTTGAGATTATTTATCTGGAAAACTTTAAATGTGGAAGTTTTTTTTTTCCTGCAGGTACTCAGTACGTGCAGTTGTTTGCATGGGCCACAAGATCGCTAAAAATAAAACACAGTCAAGGCAGAGTTGTCTCCAAGTATGACTTTGTGGTGCAGATAATTTTAGCTTGATATTTTTAAAGCACAGACCATTAAGTCCATATAAGCTTGATTATGTTGACTACAAGGTGCATATGAGCTCATATACATAGAAAGAGCAACAAAAGTAAAAGTTGTGTAGAAAACACATGGATTGTAATTGATGATTCTTCATGTGTGTGTGGGGTGTGTGTGTGTGTGTGTGTGGGGGGGGGGGGGTGTCTCTTGGTCGATTTAGGAATGTACTTGGCTGAGGGCTTGATCTCTTGGCCATTCTTCAGCCATTTGACGTGGACGTTAGGATCAACCACATCGCACGACAGCACAATTTTCTTGCCCTTTTCCACAGTGTAGCAGGATTCAAGCTTCTTCAGGAAAGCTGGGGATTTAGAGAAAAGAATGAACTCATACGTTCATCAATATTTTGGGTTTTACCCACTTCTCTTCCGCCCCTTTCTTACTTTTCACCTCCTGATACTTTTCACTCCATACCTCAAATATCTCTCCACATCTCCCCCCTCCCTCTGACCAGCGCTGACCCCACTTACCCTCGCTATGCTTGGGCTCCGCTTTCATCTTCTTTAGACGTTTCAGCATGCCCCTCAGGTCAGTGATGCCATACTTAAAGGCGATTTTTTCATACTCGCTTGGGTGAGCACTTTTAAGCAACTCCCACACATCTATCTCTGGTTCCTCTTTTTCGGGTTTTTTCTTCCTGTGATAAAAAAAAAAGTACAAAATCAAAATGGGATTTCCAATATCAATATGTGCACCTAATAAATTTGTAAAAGTAATTTTTTTGTTAATTATTTTACGTTTTAGCAGCTTTCAGCAGAGCACTGAAGTCCAGATCTCCTTCATCCTCTCCAGCATCTCTGTGCGCATCGAAACACATTCAATAAAAAATATCCAGCAAACAAATTCAAACACAAGAAGATACGTATAACACTTTCACCAAAAAAATCCATATTAAAGATTTTGCTCAAATTTGCTGAAGTAAAAGAAGCTAAAAGGAGATGTTAAAGCTAAAAGAAGAACAGTGACTAAAAGGCAAAAGAAGTTACCAGTAAACTAAAAGCTAAAACAAGCTAAAAGTAACAAAATGCAAGGGAAAAGTAGCAAAAGACTAGCTAAAACTAGACGTAAAAGGTAGGACTCGTCAAAAGTAACACGATGCTAGCTAAAAGCTTAAAGTAACAAAACACAACTAAAAAGAGCAAAATGCAAGCAAATAGTAAACGTGTGAAAGTAGCAAGCAACAAGATAAAAGTAGTCAAATGGTAGCTAAAAACTAAGAGAAGCAGAAAGTCTTGCTAAAAATAACAAAAAGCTGGGTAAATGTAATAAAAGTTCATCTATCCATTCATTTCTCTTTACAATCTACATAAGTAATGTTTTATTTACTTTTCATTTTATATATTTTTTTATGACTGTTTATTGTTTCTGTGCCTCGTCTGTTTTTTTTTTAAAATAGGTCTCTTTTGAAAATGAGTCCTTGTGACTCCATGAGACTAAATAAAGGTTGAATGAATTAATTTCTACTAGCATTCCTGGTCTCTGGGGCAGCTGGTGCCCATCTCCAGCAGTCACTGTGCGAAAGGCGGGGTACACCGTGCACACGTCACAAGTCCATTATAGAACAAAAAATGTAGCAATAATAGACTAGCTAAAAGTTACATGCGGAAAAACAGCAAAAAGCTATTTGAAGCTAGATAAGATTAGCAAAACGGTAACTAAACACTAAAAATAGCATACATGGTGCCGGTATACTAACACAGATTTCAACGAAAACAATGTTTTTGAAGCAACTGGAAATGGGGAAAGCATCTGTAAAAAATGGTCAATGTCAGAAAAGTATTAAAGCAACAAACACACAGCACCTATGGATTCAAGGTTTTTATTAATGAATGGTTAAAGTAGCACCAAATAATCAGAAGTAGTTACATTGCAAAATACATTTGAAAAATCCAAACTGTCAGTGCTAAATCAGTATATATATATATATATATATATATATATATATATATATATATATATATATATATGTGTGTGTGTGTGTGTGTGTGTGTAATATAATTCTAGGCTGAAAAACTTAAATAATCTACCAAGTATTTGTCATTATGTGAATTCCCACAAACCCCAAATCACTTACGCTCTCTTGAAAGCAGACAAAATGTCAGCTTGATCATCCTGTTGGGCGACTGTAACAAGAGAAGTTGCAGACAACACACATTATTGTGGGATCAGGTCAAACCATCAGAATGTGGGGCAGCCTCAGCAGGCCGGAGTCCATTTTCACTCACCCTCCACGGAGATCTCGAAGGTGGAGCTGTCACACACATCTTTGGCTGTCACCTCGCACCTGTAGCCTCCGGCATCTCCAGGGACCGCTTTGATGATCTTCATTTCATAAGTATAGATCTGGGCAAGGAGACAATATTTAATTATTTGCTTAGCTATTTCTGACTGAGCAAAAGCAGCTCTCACAGACTCACCTTAGTATTTCTGTCATATGTTTCTTTGAACTGCAAGTGTTTTCCAGCTTTGCTGGCGAGGTCCAGCCACTTGCCCTTCAGCCATTTCATGGTGGGTTTTCTTTGCAGGCTGCTGGAGTCTACCTTGGCTATAAAAGTTATATCCTGTCCTGCAGTTTGCAAACACAAAAATCCATTTTGACATTTTACACACGATAGAACACCAGTTTCTCCTCTGTTTGAACAATTAAGCATCCATCCGTGTGCGTGTCTGACCTGCAACAGCGACTACGCTGCTCGGTGGCTTCTCGACAAAAAGTCCACTGAGCTGAGTGGACCCAGACTCTATAAAACACACACACACACACAAAACAAAAAGAGTTATGATACTCGGTTCAATTAAAGCAAAAGTGCTGTTAAATCTCCTTCTGCTGCTCCAAAAGGCACAAACAGGAGCACTGACAATCCACAAACAGCAAAAGTCGGAACATTTTTCAAATATTTTGATGAAAAATTCCTGTCTGCACACCATCAAACCAGCATTTCAGCAATTTATCCAAGACATCCATAATAAAACTATTTATATTTGTTTATGTTCACTTTTGGTTTATAGATGTGTTCAACATTGGCCACAACCGGTGGCTGTTTTTAACTGGTTACAAGATGTTATTAATAATTCATAGGATTATGTTTTTCTGTCACACTTCTAATATAGTCACTAATTCATAGTGGCACATGTGCTTTTATTTTGTTTCTTAAAGAGATAGTTCCAATCTTTAAGACAACAACCCATTTTCACAGATTCAGTGTTTTTATTGCACATGACATGTGATGGACAAACACATGTGTTTCATCTTTCTTCCATGCAGCTGATTTTGACAGTTTTGTAACTTTGCTCGCTTCGCTCTTACCTTGCACTACAGGGTTTATCTCAGATACACACACCAAACATTCCCATTTACCAAATGAAAGTATAACCATCAGAAGTTATACTCTAGCACAAGTCTCTATAGGAACTCATTGGTTTACACAAGCTATAGCTTGAATTTAGGCAGAAATGTCAACTTGTTAAAGTGAGTGGACATTTTCAAGTCTGAAACCAAGCAGCTACTGAATTTATACATGTATTATTATTATTACATTACCACAGCACACAGTGAAAACAGGTTTGTTCATGATAATAAGATCATGACATATATTTACTAAATACTGTGAAAGTAATCAAATGTCTTGATTACATTTGTTTAATTGTCATACACCAGATGAATTATTTTAAATTACTTTGAATGCTTTCTCTTTGGACTGATCCTTCAAGGCTGGATAGCTGCAGTTACGTTACCTCTTAATAATAAAGATACCAATTATTTTCTCTGATTTGATCTTGCAATAGCATAATTTATTTTATTTTATTGCATTTTCTGGAACAGATATAAGTAATTCAACCCATGTGCTGAGTACAGTGGAAGGTTTTTTTTATTTTTAGGATTTGTTTTAGGAAAATTGGCATTTACTCCCTGCTACTGTTCGTAGCAATTGCTGTAAGTACCCCAAACCAGTTGCCCAAGTGATGATAATTCTGTACACACTATACCCTTGTGCAGACAACCTTGGAATGGTAAGCACTCACACTTGCAAGGTCTACTTGTAATCTATACACGAAAGGCAAACTGAGTGTAGTTCAATACCCACTTTGGAGTCTGGACAGGTGATCAAACAAATCATAAATATCAAAAATAGAAGCTAAAACTGTCTTTATGAAGGAAACTCATCCTCTAAAACAGAATTTTCAAACAGACTGTTTCAGGTTATGTTCTGTTGCGGGTTTCACAAATAACTTCTTATTTCTGGGGCCAAGAAGGAAATGTGTGAGGCAAAACATTTTTTACTTTTTATTTTTATTCTGATGATCCTTTTCTTTAAGTGAAACCCAATAAAGGCCTGTGCACATATGTAAACAGACCAACACATTCCATTCATTATGAAAATTGTTGGATTGTATACCTGCATAATTGAGCATGGACTTTTTTGGTTTTGAACCAGTTTGACATGACTGTCGACGAGGAAGAGGGCCGGCAACAGAGGAGGGGGCGTGCCAAGGACACCATCTTAGCACCAACATAACTGGTTTGTTCCACTTTAGAATAAGCTGTTTGGGGGAAGAATCAGTTTTGTGTTGTGTGTTTCCTTGACTGATGAAGCCTTCTGGATGGACGGTGAAATGTTTCAGAAAAAAAAAAAAGAAACTGTCCAGATGACCTCACTGAAAATTGTTGGGTTCATTGTGAACTGTTTTATATGTGCAAAAAGTCATTAAAACATGGTGGTTGAATATTATTACTTGAGTTATTTTTCTATGAACTTTTCTATAGATGTTCTTTTTTTATTTAAATAAACTTTAAAATATTATTTGAGAAGTTTCATGTTGTTGTTTTTTCTGTTTTGAGCTAATCCAATTTGGTTTTCTTTGGTTCATATGTTTAGATTTTAATTGTTTGTCTAATGTCGTCTGGGCAAGCTGTGGCTGACTGGTTAGAACAGTCATTCTTTAGTGGGAGAGTTGAGGGTTCCATTCCACCAGCGGTATCCCTAGGCAAGACACTGAACCCCTCATTGCCTCTGATGTGTGTCCCATCAGTGTATGAATGTGAAGTCAATTTACCATTTGACATTGTTCTTGTACTGCATGTTAACCTAGAAGTCTTTAACTGCCCTTGCTTCCATCTCTATGCTCACCTGTCTTGTATTTGTAATCAGCACACCTGGTTTCATGGTGTAATTGTTCCTCTCAGCATATATGCTTTGTTTCCCTCGTTCTTTGTAAGATCCTCCTTACACCCTGCCTGTTTGGCTTTGTTCCTGTTATGCTTCCTTTACTTTTTAAAATTTGATTCAATAGTTATGCTTTAAAGAATGTTTGCCTCCTGCCTGTATTTGGGTCCGACTATAACAACTCATCCTGAATCATGCCGTTAAGATAACTACAATACACGGTACAATATATGGTTTGACAACTGATTATACAAATAAAATGCAAGATTTAAATTGTTTCGTGGACTGTCTAATTAGATTAAAAAGATTCTAATATATGTGGCTAAAGCAAAATCTTTTTACTGACACAATATGGTACCACCGAAAATCAACGAAAAGCCAAACGAAGCCAAACTGTGGCCCTGTAATTCAAAAGCGCTATTATTTCTTCTCTTGGGGACAGTAAGTGCAAGATGTTTCACACATTTTAAAGAAAGTTCAAGGAATTAGCAGTTTTAGTTTCCCGAAGCACTTCCTTTCTCAGTCTCCTCATAGTTGGTCCAAAGAAACCACATGCCCAACTCCTTTTGAGCCTTGACTTGGCCTACAGGCTCATCTTACTAACAAATCAACAGCGTTGGATTTCACTTTAAGAATCAGAGCTGGGGCGTAACTCTGGAATTGTTTCAGACATTTGGTTTAGGAATTAAACTGCTCGGCAACTTAGCTGGACTATCTCAGGATCTTTGAGCCTGCAAGACATTCAATACTCAGAACGTCTGTAGTTTGAAGCCATGTTTTTATTTAACTTCACCTTGTCCTTGTAAATTTGAAAACATCCTAGTCTTAAGTTGAGGTGCAACCAGAAACGTGTCAACAAATCACATGACAATGGCGTGTCATCAGTGACTGCTGCCAGTGTTGCGCTTGAACCGCAGCTGTGTTTCGAAGCGCGTTGTTTAAATTCTCTGAGGGACAAAAGCAAAAGCAGGACAGTTGTATAGGTCACTGATGGGAAGAACAGGCCTCTGTGTACAGAGGAACACATTTTAATATGCTGGAAAAGCATACGCAGCATAGTTTCCATGTGATGTCCCACGTTGTAAAATCACATTAACTGTAAGGCACAAGAAGCATAGACATGTACTAAGGTTTCTTCTTGTCTTTGACACAAACATTGATCTAGCAAAATGTAGGACAGGTGGTAAGAAGCTTCTATTAGTTACAATAAGAACCAAGCTGTGTAGGGGATTCATTAGATCTGTAAGATGTACACTTTTCAGTAAATTATAAACCTTTTTTTTTAGAATGAATGCGTCTTTTGATGACATCAATTTAAAAACTAATTATCTTCTAACGTATTGGACCAATAAATGGTTCAGAGCCTTTCTCAAGAAAATGTAATGTTATGTTTGTGTTAAGTTTGTTGTATTTTTTATTAAGTCTATGGTACAGTTTGGATAGGCAAAAATCCCCTCTTTGCATAAACTACCAACATTGTTGGAGCTGCTGGCCAAACATCAGATTGAAATGAATGGAGGTGTATTTTAGCTGTGTTAACCTAAAAAAAAATATTTGCTATACATCTCTATGAACTTGTGTGTGTGTGTGTGTGTGGGGGGGGGGGGGGGTTGGGGGCGGGGTTGTCTTTGTGTTTTGTTCCCTTGTAAGGCCCATTTTTCCAACACACACAATAATGTGAGGACCAACTGTTCCTTAGGGCCCAAAGCCCTGGCCCCAAAAAAAGAAGTGTCGTTGATGGGTTATGGGTTCGGGTTTAGGTTTAGAACTAAGGTGTGAACTGAGGATGGGTTAGGTTTAGAGTTAGGTATGTTCTGGTAACGGTTAGGTTTAGAGTTAGGTATGTTCTGGTAATGGTTAGGTTTAGAGTTAGGTATGTTCTGGTAATAGTTAGGTTTAGAGTTAGGTATGTTCTGGTAATGGTTAGGTTTAGAGTTAGGTATGTTCTGGTAACGGTTAGGTTTAGAGTTAGGTATGTTCTGGTAATAGTTAGGTTTAGAGTTAGGTATGTTCTGGTAATGGTTAGGTTTACCATTAGGGTATGGGTTAAGCTATATAAATTAATTAAAAATGAATGGAAGTCAATGCAAAGTCCCTGTAAAGATAGCAAGACACACTTGGGTGCTTGTGTGTGTGTGTGTGTGTGTGTGGGGGGGGGGGGGGGGGTGTTGGGGGCGGGGTTGTCTTTGTGTTTTG